CCCCCCCCCGCCAACCATGGAACTCAGGACTTTGCGAGTGCAAGGCAGGCATGGTGCCACTGAGCTAAATCCCTGCCCCACCCTGGGATCTTATAATTGACGGTCCTACTCATTTCCCCAGCCAGCTTTGCCATGTCTTACTTCCTATAACAGTTTTAGGTCATCAAAGGCAGAGGACCTGGGTTTGATCCCAACATCTCTGTGATACAAAACAAAACCCAGAGACTTACTTCATCAGAGTAGGGAGAGGCCATGGCCCCACCCAGCCCTGTCCATAATAAGGGACTGCCTCTGGTCCTTCCTCTCAGCCCTCCTCCCACTCCTGCAGCCCCTTGAGCCTTTCCCGGGATAGATGGAGCTGGCTCCGGTTCTGCTCAGACGACAGGAACTCCTGGGGCAGCTGCTCCTGAGTTAGGTCAAGTACATTTCCTCTTGATTTGATTAGTTTCCTTCTAAGCAATGCATTTATGGAAGGGAGTTTTTGCAGGCATGCATTTGCACAGGCAGCCAACCTCCTTCAGCCACACACACACACACACACACACACACACACACACACACACACACTTTCTTCCCATCTGCCCACAAAGTGTCAGTCACATTTAGAATTTGCACAAATGTACACCTCCCTCATATATCACAATGCACACCTTCTCACCCACCTACACATTTCTTCCACACAAATCACACCTGCTCACATATCCCGAGAAGCACATTCTCAGACTGTGCCCCAGAGAGAGAAATGTGGGGGAGACAGACAAAGTGAATGGATCCTAAAAGCTCAGGAAACAAGTGCTCTCTGTAGGAGCTGGAAAGTCAGGAGACCAGGACCCCACAGATCCCCACCCCTCCCACTAAGTAGAAGCATTAAGAATTGAGAAGGATTCTGAGTTAGAGGAAGCAGGAACTCAGTGCTCCAGGCCCTACTTGGAAAGTGTGTGTGGCCTGAGGGGTCAGAGATTTGTCTCAGGCCTGAAGTGGGAAGTTCCCCTGGGATAGGAAATTTGTCAAGGAAATTTGTTAGTGGAGAATGCAGTCACATCCAGGACATGCCTGAGGAGCCCATCTGCCGGATGGCAAAGATGGCCTGTGGGCTAGGATTGCCTGGCAGCTCAGAAAATGATGAGGGAGGGAAGGAAGGGAGAAAAGGAAGCAGAAAGCTAAGTTTGGCTCTGAGTTCAACAGCCTCCAGAAGTCTTTCCTCTCTCTAGTGGCACTCTACCACTGAGCTACATCCCCAGCCCTTTGTTTTTTATTTTGAAACAAGGTCTTGCTAAGTTGGCCAGGTAGGACTCAAACTTGCAGTCCTTCTGTTTCAGCCTCTCTGAGGCCCTAGCTAGCCAGGAGGAGCCTAGCATCAGCTGGAATCAAGAGGAGGAGGCTCCCCCTTCACTGGAAACTTGAAGTCTCCTCAGAGAAAAGAGGTGACAGAGGGGTCTTGAGAAGTGACAAGTGCCCAGAGCAGGACAGCAGCACGGGGCCATTCTGGCTTCACCCCAACTGTGCTGTATGCCAGCCCAAACTCAGAAGCTTTGGATTCTAAAGTCTGGAGGCCAAAATGGAGTTATGTCTCGGAATTCCATAGCTGGGCTGTAGGCAAGAGAACTAGGCTAACCAAATGATTTTACCCTAAAATTATGTAGCATTGCTCCCGACATTTTTCTTTAGAGAAGGGTCCTGGAGCTGACCCAAAGTGGCCCAGAAAATTGGTAGGGACTCCAGGTAAAGTGAGACCAGACCCGGCCATCCAACTCTTCTTGAGTCTCTCTCTGTGCTGCCGCCTGGGGGCGCCCCCAGCTGAGTCGGAGGCCGTAGCCGGCGCTGCTGCTGTTTTCCTGGTTAGGATAATTAATAAACAAGCGCTGGCTGGGTCAAGGGCGGGAGGTGGCAGGCCCCGGCTGCTAAGAAGAATCCCTGGAAAGGCCCAGCGAGGCTGCTATGATGGGCAGTGAGGGAGCTGAGGAGCCAGCCCTTACTTCCCACCCAGGACTTTGGGGAAGGGAAGGGCTTTGGGGGTGGGCTCCCGAGGGCAGGGAGAGGCCAGGACTGGCAAGGGGAAAAAGTTGGTATGCATGATTAGGAGCTAGCTCTGTAGGAAGGATGTTTGTGGGCAAGGCCACCCCCACAATTCCTGGTTGTGTGTGGGGCAGGCTCCGAAGCAATTCATTCATTAACAGGCATCTGCCTTTTTGTTCTTGGAGCGCCTGCTTTGTGCAATAACAGCTAATGTTTCATGGATAACCAACAGGAGGACACAACTAACTTTCACACCGTGGTCTGGGAAGTGGGGGTAGCAGTATAGGAAGGGAACAGAAAGACTAACTGCCCCCAAACGACTGGGCCTTGGGCAGCAGAGGGGATGTATATCAGAGAACACCTAGCAATTTCCAAACAGATCTCGGAAAACACACGGCGCCCACGATTCAATTTAAAAAGCACCCTGGGAAGGTGGGCCGAAGGAAATGGTCCTTTTCATGCAGGCGCCTACTTGGAGGTAAAAGGTGGGAAAGAGCAGGAAAGCGTGGATCGTGGGTGAAAGGCGTAATGAGAGGCATACGGGTGCTCGCTGATCCTGTGGGGTCCCGGCAGTTTCGAGTGTCACTTTTCGGGGCCTGATGGTTGGGAGTGTCCGGAGAGGGCTCAGAATCCGGACCAGAGTTACGGTGTGGGGGGCTCGGGCAGCGTGGAGGGCAGGCTTCCGAGTATTTGGGGAAGGGGGCGTGGCCGGGGCGCCCAGCCGGGGATGGGCGTGGGGGCCCGGCTGGCCGGGTCTGGGTCCTGCGGCCGGGCGGCGGCAGTGGCAAGGCGGGGTGCGCGCTCGGCGGGCCTGGGCTCCGCGGGGGGAGGCAGCGGCTCCGAGCAGAACATGAATCAGCGGCGGCAGCGGCGGCGACGGCGGCGACGGCGGCGACGGCCGTGGAAGGAGCGCGGCTGCCCGGCTGGGACCCCAGGGACCCCGTGCGGCTGACGGCGCGGGTCTCGGCGCCGCCTTCTCGGCGCCGCCCTCTCGGCCTCCCGCTCCCTCCTCCAGGCGTCCGCCCCTCCGCGGCTCCTCCCCGCTCCTCCCTGCTCTCCGGCCCCGGCCCGGCATGGTGCGGCGACGCCGCCGATGGCGCTGAGGCGGAGCATGAGGCGGCCGGGGCTCCCCCCGCTCCCGCCGCCGCCGCCGCCGCCGCCGCCGCCGCTGCTGCTCCTGGCGGGTCTGGCCTGGCTGCTGCTCCCAGAGTCCGCGGCCGGAGGTAGGGGCGGCCGGGGGTGGCTGCGGGCGACCAGGGTTGAACCCCGGGGCCGGCGGGCGCTGCTGATCCCGGGCCTGGGCGCGGGAGGTGCGGAAGAGACTCGGAAGGCCGAGGCGCGGGGCGCGCGGTGCTGGCCGCCGGCTTCGGCCGGGCTCCCGCCCCCAACTTTCTAGCGCACGGGGCTCCCCCGGCTGGGTGGAAGCGAAGGTAGGGGGTGTGGGTCGTGTGGTCCGCGGCGGGGGCGGGGGGGGGAGCTACTGCGTTTTCCCGCCTCCTCAAGGCTCCAAGTTTTTGCTGCCCCCGCCCAGTCCTGGGGACCTCATTTTGCCCGCCGCACACAGGCAGGTCCCACTGTGAAACGGGAGTTGGGGATGAACGCCCAGGGGCGTCCCTCTACCATTAGACTTAGGGTTTGAGGACACCCTGCCCCAACATACATCTGAGCGCTCTGTTCCTGTGCCCTGAGCGCTTTCTAAAAGCCAAAGTATTGGAGAGCTGGGCCCGGCTTGTGGCTGCAGGTCTTCCTGGGGCTCAGCCCTGTGTTCCCACCTGGCTCCCAGGCGCTATTTGGGGCGAGAGCACCCCTGCAGCACCTTTTCAAATCACACCGCGCACCTTTGGGACCACTGGATGTTCTTGGGGTGTGTAGCTATTCCTCCTTGCCCTGCGGCTGGTTCTGAGAGGGCGAATGGAGTTCAGGTGGAGACTCTGGCCAGCACAGCAGCCAGAGGTTGGCTCCTTGTCTTGAGATATAGCAGACTCTGGGAAAGAAGGGGGAAAGGGTGACAGATATTTACAGATGCACGGATGTATATCTGATGCTCAGACAACCTGGGAATTTCCCTAGAGTCACACAGCAAAGAGGAGGAAGAAGCAGGACTGGATTTCAGCTATGTCGATATTTTACCTGCCCATCTGCTTACAAACATACCAGGAGGCCAGGCGAGGTGTGGGGGGTAAGGTTCCAGTGGGCGGCACCTTTGATGTGACAGGCCTTGGGCTCCTGCTCAGGACCCCACCCTCCCTCGGCTTCCCACCTTCCTAGCACCACCCCTGCACACATTCAGGTATTAATAGAGCAGGCGGCTGCCAGGAAGACTGCCATGTGTTTGATCCGCCGTGGTTTTGCATCCATATGTTCTCCGCTTCAGGAGAGCACCCCCCCTTCCTCTCAGCCTCCCTTCGTTTAGTAGGGTGGGGTGCAGGGAGGTGCTGGCAGCAGTTCAGGGGCTGCCTGTTGCACTGGTTGGGTCATTCCTGCCCTGGGATGTGACAACGCCCCACCGTTTCAGTTCAGCGTGCCTGCCTTTTAGTGGTTGGGCACAGGGAGCTACGTGAAGGAGGTCCTTTGAGCTAGGGGCACCTGGCAGTGACAGAAAGGGTACTAGGAAGGAGCTTGTCATGCCGCACCCCCCGGCTCAGGTCCCCTTCCCTCCCAGGCTGTCCTGCCTCTGCTTCCTTGACATTGGCAAGGAGCCCTCTGGCACAGAAGTCATCTCCTGGAAGAGAACAGGGAAGGGCTTCCAAAATCAGGGACCACCTGCCACAGGCTGGTGTGCTCTCCTTCCCGCCCCTCAGGCTTGAAGCTCATGGGAGCCCCAGCGAAGATGACATTGTCCCAGGGGCAGTCGATGATGCTCAACTGCAGCAAGGAGGGGCTGGAGGAGCCAGACATACAGTGGATGAAGGATGGGGATATGGTCCGGACTGGGAGCCAGGTGTACATCGCCATCAGTGAGCGCCACTGGATTTGCTTCCTCAGGTGCCAGGCTAGGGGAAGGTGTGGGCTGCCAGTCTGGGGCAGGCTGGGTTTTCACTTAGAGCTTGAGAGCTGGGGGCTGTTTGGATACCCAGAGGTCTGCAGGTTTTAAATTTGGCAACCTGTGGAATCTTCCAGAAGCAGGGCAGGCTGAACACCTCAAGTCTGCCCAGCAGAATTGCCCCCCTTGACCCTGGGAAGCAAGCGTGGTATCCTGTTTCCACAGCCTGAAGTCAGTGGAGCGTTCTGATGCGGGCCAGTACTGGTGCCAGATGGAGGATGGGGGCAAAACTGAGATCTCTCAGTCAGTGTGGCTCACAGTAGAAGGTGAGGAAGCAAAGCCTGGAGCCGGTGCTGTCTGCTAGCGATCATAGCCGGCAAAGGAGGATATAGAGGATTCTGTGCTGCTCCAACCTCAGAATACCCTACCTGCTGGGGTCTAGATAGAACCAAGGGGTCACCTAGGAGCCACAACTTCCAGACTTACTGTCTGTTTCAGCGGTCTGAGCAACAAGCCTCAAGCACCCATCTGGGGCTGGACCCTGTTCTGCCAAGTGATCTGACTGGCAGGGGGAGGGGGAGGGGAGGAAGGCTGTGCAGCTGCCTGAGCTCAGAGCTGTTCAGCCCTGGAAAACAAAGTGACTAAGGAAGTAACAAAGGGCCCTGAGCAGGAGCTGGGGCCTGCCAGCAGAACTCTGCCAAAGCTCCCACCCACCCCTCCTCCCTGTGTGCCCTCCCCGCAGCCACCCCCCAGCCTCCCCCTCTACCCTGAGAAGGGCTGTCAAAGCAGGTCTGGCAGCAAGTGCTGGGGCTGGCGAGCCGAGAATCTGCCCCGCCCTTCTGAGAGCAGCAGAAACGATCTTCCTGAGGGAGCTGATGAAAAGATGACTCCTCAGCACCCCAAGCTTGATACCTGTTGTGTAGTTGAGCTGCTTGCCAGGGGTTGTGGGGACCTGAAGAGAGGACTTCAAGTGAAGCAAACTTGTGACTTGGGCAGCAGTGAGCTAAGAGGTGGCGAGCTCATCCCCCACCCCCTTCTCTTCTAGGTGTACCATATTTCACTGTAGAGCCCAAAGATCTGGCAGTGCCCCCCAATGCCCCTTTCCAACTCTCTTGTGAGGCCGTGGGTCCCCCGGAACCTGTTACCATTTTCTGGTGGAGAGGAAGAACGAAGGTTGGGAAACCTGGTCTCTCTCCCTCAGTTTTAAATGTAACAGGTGAGCAGCACAGGCGGGGGCTTTGAGCAAAGGCTGAGCTGGGTCCTTGCATGTGGTGAGACTGGCAGAGTTGGAATCTGCCTAAATCATGGAGTTTGGAGTTGTGAGTGGCCAGAGTAGATCACAGTGCCTGGGTGCGTGAGCCGTATCATTGCTATGCCCATTAGTTAGGTGTGCCAGACTAGCCCAGTGGGGTGATTAGTGGCCTTCCTGCTGTGTGTGCTAGCTCAAAGAGGGTGCTTGGGCCGCCTCACATCATTCAGAGCAGTACGGGCCAAGCACAGCTGGGCCTGGCAGACCAAGGCCCCCCATCCCCCTCCTCCACTTCCGAAGAGAAGGGGCCAGAAACCAGCCCACACAGAGCTAGGGAGGCGTGTCTGGCAGACAGGGAGAAGATGAGACTCAGGCTGGACACAGGGAGAAGGGGAGAGAGAAGCCAACGTAAAGATACAGGGGCATCCTTCCCTTAGGGTCCTTTCAAGAAATCTTCAGCCATTTTCCCAAGCAGCTATCTGTTCATACCTCTGCACAGTTAGACCCAAAGCAGCCATGTCCACATTTCCACCTCTGCCCCCAAGATCCTCAGGCATAAAACAAGGTTTACAGATTGAGGCTTGAATTGGGCAAAAAAGATGAAAGTCTGAGTTTGGTCTCCTGTGCTGGGAGGTGGGGTAAAGGGGCTCTGATCTGTCAAGCCCGCATCAGAAGTGGTAGACTATAGAACCTGCTGGAAGCAAGGGCAGGGGGTGTTCAAGAAGAGGTTGGGTTCCCTTCCCTCCAGATGTGCGTGGTTAGGACCCTCAGCCAGCCGCCTGGTAATAAGCACTTGTGGGATTACTCCTGCACACACCACACTGTGCTGGGCACCACAGGGGATGAGGGAACACAAAGGAAATAGAAATCACTCTTCCTGCCCCCAAAGAATTGAGTATAATGGGGGAGACAAGACACACGCATAAGGAACTGGGAACTGTGGCAAGGCACAGAATCTGCAGATACTATAGTGGCAGGGCAGAGAGCAAACAAAAGGGCTCTGGTATGCACAGCGGAGGAGTGACCAGCAAAGGGAGGCAGTGCTGTGCCGTCTGTGGGCGATGGAACTGAGAAAGGAGGCACTGTGTAATATTTTTCAAGTGTTTATTCTGTGCTGTTCATTTTACATGAATTACCTGATTTTCACAGTTCTCCCATTTGGGAGATGAGAAAACAGAATGCCATCCAAGCTCATTAGACTCCAGAGTCCTTATTCCCTTCCACTGTATGCCACTGTCCAGCCCCTTCCTTTCACTGGAGGGACTTCTAGGATGTCCAGGCCAAAGCCTGTGCGTCCCCCCTCTCCAGCGCCACATTGAGAGGGAGTTGCTGTTTAGTGGACTAACTGAAATTTTCTGGCCTCAGGGGTGACCCAGAGCACAGTGTTTTCCTGTGAAGCTCGCAACAGAAAAGGCCTGGCTATTTCCCGCCCGGCCACTGTTCACCTTCAAGGTAGGAGGACAGTCAGGGGTGAGTAGGTGAGGCCAGTGGCATTCAGAACTAGCCAGCCATGCAGCAGTGAGATCATTTGGCATTCCAGCTTCCCTGGGTCCTGCCAGGTTCTCCAAATGAGGGGTAGTTGGCACAGCTCCCACTCCTAGTGAAAGCACCTGCGACCCTGCCATGGCTGGGCCAAGAATAGAATCCTGACGTCATAGCAGATTTCCCATCACGAAGCAGAGTCCTTGGAAGGGAGGGGAAGAAGGAGCCAGCAGGAGATGATCAAGGCTCCTGCCCAGTCTTGTTTCTGCCACTCCTGTGGAGAGAACAGGGGCAGGGGAAGCAGCCTGGTGGGTGATGGGACCCAAAGGGCTGGTGCAGAGGGAGGAAGGGAGCCGCTGTGAGGAGCTCCTCTGGTTGCAGAGGCAGCTGCTTATTTCTCATTTTCTATTTTGCATTTCTCCTTTTGTGCTGTACTGTGCCCCCACATATTACCTTCCAATTCTTTGGTCAGAGCCCCTTATTCAAAGAGAGGGTGAGGCTTTCCTTAGCCCTCGGCACTCCCAGCTGTGAGCAGCTGTACCCTACTGGTTGCTTGGCTTGTGCCTCCCTGTGAGCTGAGAGCCTTGAGTCGCCATCTTTAGGTGGGGGCATTCCTGGTCCTGGGAAGAATATGAAGCTTGATTCCCATGCCTCCTCTTCCCTCTGCTCTTGTCACTGGGCACTGACTCCAAGTCCCCATCCACAGCACTGCCTGCAGCCCCCTTCAACATCACAGTGACAAAGCTCTCCAGCAGCAACGCTAGCGTGGCCTGGATGCCGGGTGCTGATGGTCGAGCCGTGCTTCAATCCTGTACAGTGCAGGTAGGCTGAGAGGGGCCTAACAGGCTCTCCTGGACTGCCTGTGCTTGTTGTAGCTGCATAGCTGGCCCTTAGTGGTAGTGGCACCATGCTTACTGCCTGTGGGGCTTATTTTACAGCACTGTAGGTGCCTCTCCTTAGTGGAAAGAGCCCAGGACCCCATCTCTTACCATAGGGTGCTCTGGCCACGGAGAGACCCTGCAGATTGGCTCAAGCCTGTGCCAGGCTGGAAAGCAAATCACTAGGGCAGCTTTGGGATACCTGCAAGAGGGGTGTGTGTGTGTGTGTGTGTGTGAGATGCTGGGATTGAACCCAGGACCTTAGACATGGTATGCAAGCACCCTATCACTAATCTGTACACCCAGCCCGCCCCAGAAGAGTTTTATGCGAGTGAAGTCTTTGCTGCACCTGGTAATCTACACTCCTGCATTCTCTTGCCTCACTCCCACCCCCAGCCCATGCCAAAGAGGATGAGAAGATGGCTGAGCCTTGGAGAGTGGAAGGGGGATAAGGTGACACCACAACCCAGAGGCAACGCAGCCTTGGTCATTTTTGCTCAAAAGGGGTTTCATGAGAAGCTTTCGAAATTGTTCTTAAGAGTACCCTGGGCAGCAGGGGCTCCTGCTCTAGGCTGTACCATTTATAGGCCCCTACACTGGTCCGGCTTAGACACAGTCCTTGATCCTGGGCCTCCAGGATCTCCAGGGCCAAGGGCACAGGTCCATCTGGATCGTCCTTATTGCCATGCAGTACTCGTGGCAGTCCTGGTTCTGACTCCAGGGCCTTGTGGGTTCGGTCCCGGTCCATCCTCCCAAAGGGGACCGTGTTGTGATGTGTGTACATTTAGAGGCAGCTATCTGTGAGCAGATGGGAACTGAACCTGAGCGTGCAGCAGCAGTGTTGTCCACATCTCAGCCCCTCCTGGTGTAGACCCTTGCCTAGGGGCCAGCTCTTCCACTGCCACCACCCTTACCTGGGACTCCCAGTGGTTTGGAGAATTCTAAGTGTAAACCTGAACTTCCAGGTGATTTTGAAGATTTGTTTGTCAAGGTATCAAGACATAAACTTTTTAGTAGTTTGTTAAGTAAGGGCCAAGATGTAGCTCAATGATAAAGTGCATGTTTGGCATGTACAAAGCCCTGGGTTCGAGTTCCACCACTGCAAAAAAAAATGTTAGCTGATTTTTGTTTGGTTTGGTTTTTGTTTTGTACCAGGGATTGAACTCAGGACCTCGCACTTGCCAGGCAGGTGCTGTGCCACTGATCTACATCCCTAGCTAGCTGATTTATAATGTTAAAATATTTAGCCATATAGTTCATGAATCTCTGCACTCTGGCACTAGGCCCCCAAAATAAGCTGAGGGCTGGTTCAGAGTGCCATGGGTTCATGGGGCTGGGGGATTTAGCTCAGTGGTTCCGCCGCCTGCCTTGCAAGTGCAAGGACCCGAGTTTGATTCCCTGGTACCAAAAAACCCAACAAAATAAAACAAAAAAACACAAAGTGCTGTGGGTTCAAAGGCAGTTTCCCCTGCCTTTGCGAAGCTCTGAGACTTTGAGATGGCATGAACAAGTACAAGTGGCAAGTACTTTGGACAAAGTACTAAGCACAAGTACAAAAGGACAAGCGTTTCCTGGAGTTGATAAAGGGATATTTAGCTAGCTGTGGGGGTGCACCCCTTTAATCCCAACACTCTGGGAGGCTGAAGCAGGAAGATTGCAAGTTCCAACCTAGCCTGAACAATTAGTGACTTAGTGGGATCCTGTCTTAAAAAGTAAAAAGGGTTTCGCTGCCTGCTTTGGAAGCGCAAGGTCCCAAGTTCAATCCCTGGTACCAAAAAAACCCCCTAAAAACAATGCTTTGGGCCGGGGATTTAGCTCAGTGGTTCCACGGCCTGCCTTGCAAGTGCAAGGACCCGAGTTTGATCCCTGGTACCAAAAAAAATAAAAATAAAAATAAAAAGGGCTGTTTATGTAGCTCAGTGTCAAGGTCCTGGGTTCAATCCCCAGTACTAAAAAAAAAGAAAAAAGAAAAAAGAAAAAAAAAAACAAAACGGCTGGAGATTTAGCTCAGTGGCGCCACACCTGCCTCGCAAGCATAAGGTCATGAGTTTGATCCCTGGTACCAAAAAGAAAAAAGAAAAGGAAGACAGAGAAGAAAGGAAGGAATTTGCACTGAATCTTAAAGGATGAATAGAGCAATGGTAGGATGCTCATTCCAGGCAACAGGAACCACAACTGTGGAGTGGAGGTATAGAACCTGGGGTGGGGGTTGTAAGTACTAATGGTGGTGGATGCCTGTAATTCCAGCACTCCAGAGGCGGAGACAGGAGGATTGCTGTGAGTTAGAGGCCAGCCTGGGCCACATACCATACCTAGCCCATCGTCCCTCTCGATTTGGGAACTTCCTTCCTTTACATCATTCATTTTCTGCTTTTCTGTAGGTGACACAGGCCCCAGGGGACTGGGAGGTCCTGGCAGTCGTGGTCCCTGTGCCACCCTTTACCTGCCTGCTTCGGGACTTGACACCTGCCACCAATTACAGCCTCAGGGTGCGCTGTGCCAATGCCTTGGGGCCCTCTCCCTATGCTGAATGGGTGCCCTTTCAGACAAAGGGTCTGGGTAAGTCACTGCCAGAACAGAGGGGCTAGACATGACTGGAGCAGGGGAGGGGTGGGTTGGCTCCAGTTTTGAAGGAGCTACCTGAGGGACAGTTCAGGCATCATTCAGCTAACATTTATCGAGTGTCTGCTGCATACCACTGCGTATCTCTGTGTATCTTGATAGTTCGGATAATTAAACTGGAAAAGGTAATGTGGTGATGAAGAGTCCCCTAGAAAGACCCCCTAATGGGATCTGAGAGGTCTGAAGGCTGACAGAGAAGCCATGTGAATGTTTGGGGGGAAGTGACTACAGGGAGAGGGCAGAGCAGATGCAAGACTGAGGAACTTGCTCCAATCCCTAGAAGCCTGCTTGACTGCGAGGGCGGCGGGGGGGGGGGGGCGCCGTAGGCGTCGTCAAGTTGTGAAAACACTGCCGAGCTGGGGTGCTGCTGTGGCTTAGGCTCCTCCCCCGTGGTTAGATCCGGCAGAGCCAGAGGTGAGCCCTTCCCCCATCCGTGGGCTCTCTGAGCTGGTGGGCTCTCTGAGCTGGTCAGCTCTTGGCTCCTGGCTCTGAAGGTCTGTATGGGATAGTGATGGTAGAGAAAAATCTTCACTTTTTCTCTCTGGATATAGCCCCAGCCAGAGCTCCCAGGAACCTCCACGCCATCCGCACAGATTCTGGCCTCATCCTGGAGTGGGAAGAAGTGACCCCAGAGGGTCTTTTGGAAGGCCCCCTGGGACCCTATAAACTTGCCCTGTTTCAAGACAATGGAACCCAGGTAAGAGAGACAGGCTCCTCCACTGTCTCTAAGACCCCTCAGGCCTTAGAAAGCTTAGGGGCTTTTGAATGGCTCTCTGGGGGGCCTGGGCTACCCACCGCCCCAGAAAGATGCACCTCTCCCCCTCCCTGGCCAACCCGACTCCTTGGATTCTGCCTCCCACGGGGACTGAATTCTGTAGCCACTCAGCATGTAAAGCAGGAAGCACATTCCTGCACCAACTGGGCCAAGCACAGATGGGGCTTTATCCCCAGCCCCGTGTCTTCCCAGCCCCCACATGCCGCCTGGTTTATGCTCCGGAGAGGCCTCTGCTCTGCCCCTGGAGCCCTGGAGCGGGACGTGATGATTCCCTGAGGCTGCTCCCACAGCCCCTGACTCCTGAGGTCCCTAGGCGCCCATGTTCCTGGCTAGACCTTTTTCTGTCCTCTTGCTCCAGCCTGAGGCCTTCTTCTCAGCCTCAGTGTGGGGTGGGGCTTTCCTGGCTACAGGATGAGCTGACTGTGGAGGGGACTCGGGCCAATGTGACAGGCTGGGATCCCCAGAAGGACCTGATCGTGCGTGTGTGCGTCTCCAATGCAGTTGGCTGTGGGCCCTGGAGTCAGCCGCTGGTGGTCTCTTCTCATGACCATGCAGGTGAGGTAGGGCCCGGGGTAGGGAAGGGGATCACAGCTTTTGAGGGCAACAACCTAGACTGGAGAGAAGAGGCTGGTGGCACCTGCCCAGCGGGCCCCAAACTCAGTCAAGCAGTTGAAACCAGAATTGTTACTCTTTGCTCATTTTTCTGCCCTTGCTCTAGAACTGGCATAGAAACCTCTGGTCGCTCTGTAGGTCACAACAGCCAGGGCCTGTGACAGTTTAGGTAGAGATTCTTGGGTCACTGTCTGGAGGTTTTTTTGTTTGGGTTTTTTTTGGTTTTCTTTTCAGTAGTACTGGTGGTTGAACCCAGGGAGTGCTGAGCTATATCCCCAGTTTTTTGTTTTTTGGTTTTTTTTGGTATCGGGGATCAAACTCGGGTCCTTGCACTTGCACAGCAGGTGGTGAAACCACTGAGCTACATCCCGAGTCCCCCAGTTATTATTATTAATATAATTTTGAGGCAAAATCTTGCTAACTTGCCCAGACAGGCCCCAAATTTGGGATCTTCCTGCTTCAGCCTCCTGAGTAGCTGAGATTACAAGCGTGTGCCACACTAGCCTTTCTCAAGCCTTTTTAACCTTGGACCTGTGTTGACTTAGGGAGTCTCTTGACCAGGCCAAGTGGCCATCGGAGAAAGTCCTAAAGGGACCCCTTGGTGTCAGCCTGGCTCCTACCACTGCCCCTCCCTCACACAGGCCATCAGGGCCCTCCCCACAGCCCCACATCCTGGGTGCCTGTGGTCCTGGGTGTGCTCACAGCTCTGGTGACAGCTGCTGCCTTGGCCCTCATCCTGCTTCGAAAGAGGCGGAAAGAGACACGTTTCGGGTAAGGGAAGGGAGTGGGGACATGGGGGGAGGCAGGTGGTGACAGAAGGCCTTGGAGCCGCCCTCCAGATCCTTGATTTCCCTTTAGGCAAGCCTTTGACAGCGTCATGGCCCGAGGGGAGCCAGCTGTTCACTTCCGGGCAGCCCGGTCCTTCAATCGGGAAAGGCCGGAGCGCATCGAAGCCACATGTAAGTGGTACAAGATTGTGGGAGGGGCAAACGGGCTCTCTGCCCTGTCCGTATTCCTTTACCAGTGCATTGATCTGACCAGTGTGTCTGAAGCATGAGGAGTCCCAGTACAGAGGAGTGGAAAGACACAGAGACCCTCCCCGCAGAGAGCTGAGCTCTGCGGACCAGGGCCGTGCAGCAGGCAGGCTGGGGTTTGGCCGGAAGCAGAGCTGCTCCCGTTTCTTGCCCCCTCCCCACAGTGGACAGCCTAGGCATCAGCGATGAGCTGAAAGACAAGCTGGAGGATGTCCTCATCCCAGAGCAGCAGTTCACTCTGGGCCGAATGCTGGGCAAAGGTGTGTGGGCTTCGGTGCTGGTGCGGGTGTGCCTGCCCTGGGTGGCTCTGGGCCTTCACTCAAGGCTGTGGGCTAGAGTCAGCTCCCATAATTGAGATACGCTGTAGGCTGCAGAGTCAGGGCTGCTTGAGGGAATGGTGGCTGGGTCCAGGGAGTGCTGAGGAGCTGCTCCCATGGTGCTCTGCTTTAATGAGAGGCAAGGGAGGCTGCTCCAGCACCCCAGGATCCAATGCCTTTGAATCCTTGTGAGGGATCACCCGGGAGGGGAAGGAGTAGGGACCAGGAAGCAAAGGAGACCTCCCGGTTGGCTTGGTTTCTAGGAGAGTTTGGTTCAGTGCGGGAGGCCCAGCTGAAACAGGAGGATGGCTCCTTTGTGAAAGTGGCTGTCAAGATGCTGAAAGGTGAGTGGAGAACAGGTGTTGTGGGGAGAGGTTCCATCCCTGGTGGGACCCGTCCTGGAGCGGACCATGCCTTGGCCTGAGATCTTGTGGGAAGAGCTCATGAGCCCTCACGGGGTCTATTTGTAGTGAGTAGTTCACAGGCATGGCCCCAGCACTGCCCTCTGCAGGTGGCAGTGATGTCCCCAGTCCAGTCCTGGGTGCTTATGACAGAGCTGGGTGGATTGGGCTGCTGGGCTGTCCAAGCCAGAAGGAGGGCCTTCGCGAGTAGGGGAGTTGTTGTGTAGCAGCATCCAGTGGGGTTCCTCCTGCTTATGGCGAGACAGGTTTCCTGGGGCCCCCGCAGAGCTCCAGACCGAGGGGTTTGGAGTCAGAGCTCTGGCATGTCTCATGTTGTTTCCTCACCACCCCATCCACTTCTCCCAGCTGACATCATCGCTTCAAGTGACATTGAAGAGTTCCTCAGGGAGGCAGCTTGCATGAAGGAGTTTGACCATCCACATGTGGCCAGGCTTGTAGGTGAGCCCATTGTGGGGTAGGCAGATAGAGAACAGGGCTGAAAGTCCGTTCCATCCATGTGAAGGGGCAGCCTGTGGGGAAGGTTGGGCTTTACCTGGATTGACCAGGGGGCAAAATGGCAAGGGGGGTCTGGCCAGCATCTAATTGTGCTCTGGCCGAGAGCAGAGGTCTACTGTGGGCAGAGGAGGAGGGAACAGGGAACATGCCCGAAGACCTAGCAGCGGCAGCCAGAACCCAGCCTGTAGGGTCCCCAGGACAGAGTGGGTGGGACCTGGCACATGGAGACGGATGTGGACACCTGAGCTGTCTTGGGACCTGACCCTCACTTGTCCCCAGGTGTGAGCCTCCGCAGCAGGGCCAAAGGCCGCCTCCCCATCCCTATGGTCATCCTGCCCTTCATGAAGCACGGGGACCTGCACGCCTTCCTGCTTGCCTCCCGGATTGGGGAGAACCCCTTTGTGAGTGCCTGGGTGGGAATGGTTAGGAGGAAAAGGGTGGGAGAAGAGGTCTTGGAAAGGCCGAAGACCCTGCAGAGAAGGGCTGGGTGGCTGGCACTGAAGATCTGGTTGGGAGTAGGAGGGTCTGACTTGACTCCATTTAAGCTGGTGTCCTTTTCCTCGCAAAGCTCTGTGGGAATTTTCGGCTGGGCACGGCCCATTCTGGGAGAACAGGCTTGTGCAGCTCCAAGCAGGGGAATCTTGGTTCTCAGATCCTCTCTCAAACCTGCCGAAGCTTCCTTGCCTCAGGAAAGCCCTCCCCTTTTCTTCCGTTCAGTGATTATGAGGACAGTCTTTAAGTCTGGCGGAGGGATGGGGGGAGTTAGGTCCAGCCTGAGCTTGCCATGTCTGCCTGCCAGAACCTGCCCCTCCAGACTCTGATCCGGTTCATGGTGGACATTGCCTGTGGCATGGAGTACCTGAGCTCCCGGAACTTCATCCACCGAGACCTGGCTGCTCGAAACTGCATGTAGGAATTCTGGAGGGCTGGGCTAGGGGACAGCAGCAGCGGGTAGGGGACAGCAGCAGCAACTAGTGGCAGGAGGAGCTGACTGATACTCAGCTCCTGCCTGGAATAGCACCTGCTGTGCATGGGGATAACCTGGGAGCAAAGCCTTTCGAGCACAGAAGAAAGCTGAGCCTGCCTTCCAACACCCCTTGCAGGCTGGCAGAGGACATGACGGTATGTGTAGCTGACTTTGGACTATCCCGAAAAATCTACAGTGGGGACTACTATCGTCAGGGCTGTGCCTCTAAATTGCCTGTCAAGTGGCTGGCCCTGGAGAGCCTGGCAGACAACCTGTACACTGTGCACAGTGATGTGGTGAGTGGAGTGGCACAGATGAGGCAATGGTGTGGATGAGTGTCAGCCTAGGACCCTCGTGGGCCTGGCCGGGTCTACTCTCTGGGCTTTGGCTACCTAGTTCTAGTGCCCCTGAGCCCTAAAATGTGCTTACCTCAGAGCTCAGGAACCCTGGTGACACCTTGCTCTCCAACCTCTGTTCTGTCCCAGTGGGCCTTCGGGGTCACCATGTGGGAAATCATGACTCGTGGGCAGACACCATATGCTGGCATTGAAAACGCTGAGATTTACAACTACCTCATTGGCGGGAACCGCCTGAAACAGCCTCCAGAGTGCATGGAGGACGTGTAAGTACCAGGAAGGGCTCTGCAGGAAGAAGCGGGAATCGCGTTTCGGTGGCTGGCTGCTCTACTACTGCTGGCCCAGCTTCTCACCCTCTATGCCCCATTCATCTACTACCTCCCCGTTTTCTCTCTCTCCTCCTTTTTCATCCCATACTTCTCATTCGAGCCTTTTTCTGTCATTCTAGTTTCTCCAGTTTCTAGGGAAAACCAGGAACCCCAGGACAGAAGGCACAGAGTCGAGCCACAGCGCAGGTTTCCCTGTTTCTTTCCTCCTCCTTGGGCCTCCAGCTCTGAGAAAACCTGCTGGCAGACCTCCCTTGCCCTGAGATAGGCCAAGTAGGGGAAACAGGGTGGCTGCTTCACTCTGGCAGCATAGCGATGAGGGATGGTACTTGGGTTTCTTTCTTGATCTTGGCCTCCTCTTGGGGGAGTGGAAGGGACCCGACATTCTGGGAAGAAGGGACCTGTTGCCTCCTTTCCTTGTCACCAACTCCAGGCCCTGGGGAACAGGGTAGGGTCGGGGTCCTACCCACTGCAGCACGTTGTCATCCTCCTGCAACAAGATGGTGTCACCTCAGTCATGTTAGCTGGGCGCTGGAGGTATTCTTTCAGATAATCCTCTTCTTACTCTAGGAGGAAAAGACTGTTATTTTCCCCATTTTGTAGACAAGGAAATAGGATTAAAGAGGTAGAGTAACATGGCCAAGGTCACACAGCTGCTGCATGAGTGAGTTGGTATTGGAACTGAGATCCCTGCGGTTTTCAGGGTATATGCTCTCCATCGTGAAACCAATTGGAACTGGTCTCTTCTGGTCTTAGTCCCTGACTCTATACAAGCCAGGGTGCTCTGGGCCCCCAGGAGACCTCTGGCTAACGCCAGTGGGGCGGAGTCCACAGTGACCCAGGGAAAATAGGCTCCTTTTGTGGCCATGGCATTGGACCTCCAACAGGTTGAGGCTACACACAGGCAGAGGAGGGCTGGGCCTGAATGGGACCTTTCTCCAGGGTAGGTGGTTTGAGGTGCCCAGAGCCTGGGCAGCAGGTGCCTCATGGATACCCGAGATGGAAATCTGAGTGCATAAGCCAGCCCGGCCCTCCTGTTCATTCGAGAGTGCTCAGGGGTGGACAGAGGCTGGAAGCTCCGGTGTCCCTGAGGCTCAGCCTGCTGTGGCCCTCCCTGAAGCCCAGTGGGCAGCAGGCAGAGGCCCTGGCTTAGCTTCCTCCAGCTGGAGTTGCTATTGTCAGTGGGTGGTCATTGGCTTCCCACAAGGCAGCCTGGTGGACAGTTGCCAACTGGCTCCTAGCATGGCCTCGAGCATGGATCCTGGCTTGGCCTTGTATCCCTGGCCCTAGTCCATTCCCACGGCCTGCCCAGGGTCTGGCACAATTCTTCCTGTCATGGGGGCCCTCTCGGAGGGCTGGTGTGAGAAGCAGTGCATGGTGCTTTGCTATGGGCAAGAGTCAGGCAATTGCTCTGATTATTCTTTTTTTTTTTTTTTGGTACCGGGGATTGAACTCAGGACTTTGCACTTGCGCGGCAGGCGCCAGAACCACTGAGCTAAATCCCCGGCCCTGCTCTGATTATTCTTGATCTCAGCCCCTTCCCATTAGGGCTTTTAGTTTGATTTGGTTGTTGTTGTTGAGGCAGAGTTTTGGTATTTCGTTCAGGTTGGCCTAGAATTTCCTGTGTAGCTCAGGCTAGTCTTGAGTTCCTAGGCTCCTGCCTTAGCCTCCCAAGTGCTAACATACCATTAAGTTTTATGGGTTTTCTTTTTCTTTTTCCTGAGTCATTCCTAGGGAACAGTGTTAGGCGTCAGAGAATCTGTAAGGCTCTTGAAGTGGTCGGGACAGAAGGATTTCTGCCAGGGACAGAAGGCTGGAAGCTCTCCTCAGGTTCTCAAAGGTATCTGTGGACCATGAGGAAGGATTTAAGAGTATCTGTGTGGGTGCTGCCTCATGAGGATTTGGAACAAAAATAAGCCTAAGTCCAGGGCTAGGGGGAGCTCTGTGGAAGAAAGCTTGCCGAGCATGCCCAAGGCCCTGGGTTCTGTACTCAGGACTGCAAAACAAAGTGAACAAAACAAACCAACCTGCACCTGACTGCAGGCTGTAATCTGCGAGACAGGCTCTTAGTACCACCCCAAGACAGTTTAGGAGGAACTTAGGAGGCAGCCCTCCTGACTGCAAATCATGGCCCTATTACTTTCTTCCTGTGTGACTTTGGTCAAAGTTCCTTAACCTCTCTGCGGTTCGGTTTGCACATTTGTGGAATAAGTATGGCTCTTTCCTTCCCTCCCTTCCTCTTTCCTTCCTTCTCTCGTTACTGGGGATTAAACCTAAGAATGGTGTACTGCTGATCTACACCTCCAGCCATTTTTATTTTTTATTTTAAGACAGGTCTCTTTTGCCAGGCTGGCCTTGAATTTATGATCCTCCTACCTCAGCCTCCCATGTAGCTGGAATTATAGGTATATATGACTGAACCTAGCTAGGAATTGCTTTATTTCATAGATGTTATGATGTTAAATAACTTAGATGTCATGTGATTAAATAGCAATAAATATGAAATACTTAGAGAAGTGCCTGATACATACTGGCACTGAGCTACATCTTCAGCCCTTTTTATTATTTTTTAAAATTTTGAGACAGGGTCTTGTTAAATCACTAAGTTGCCCAGGATAGACTTGAACTTGAGATTCTCCTGCCTCAGCCTCCCAGAGTCCTGGGATTACAGGTGTGCACTTGGCTGGGCCTCTGCTTTTGAAGGAAAGGCCACTCCTTCCCCTTACTCTTCTCTCTGCCCCAGGTACAATCTCATGTACCAGTGCTGGAGCACCGATCCGAAGGAACGACCCAGCTTCACATGCCTGCGGATGGAACTGGAGACCATCCTGGGCCACCTGTCTGTGCTGTCCAGCAGTCAGGACCCGTTGTACATCAACATCGAGAGGGCCGAGGAGCCTGCCGAGGGTGGCAACCTGGAGCTGCCTTGCAGTGACCAACCTGGCAGCGGGGCTGGGGATGGCAGTGGCGTGGGGGTGGTGGGAGACATCCCCAGTGACTATCGGTATATCCTCAGCCCCAGCGGCCCAGCTGATCTGCCGAGACAGGCTGAGCAGCAGCCAGAGAGCCCTGTCAGTGAGGCCCAGAGGCTGCTGCTCTTACAGCAAGGGCTGCTGCCCCACAGTAGTTGTTAGCCTGCAGGCAGGGCCAGCCAAGCCACCCAGGCAGCAAGGGTGGAGGCTCCTGTGGAAGCCCGCTTGAGCTGCACTGGGGCCTGGACTCACCAAATCCCAATCCCAGTTCTTCCTGTGGCTACTCCATGGCTGGCCTGGAGTCAATTCAGGCCTTGGCTTGGAGAATGTGGCCCAGGCCTGGTTGCCTGAACCTAGGCAACTAGGTGTGGGGGGGATTATGTTTCCATGGCTACCATGGGTGTGGATGGCAGTGGGGGCAGAATAGATGCAGCCCTGTGGGCCCCTGCCCTCCAGCTGAGCTGTCCCTGCTGCTTTAGTGCATGTCTTGAGCCACCTTCACCTGGGGCTCAGCGATGCCCACCACATTGGGGTTTAAATGCCAGGTTTGCCCCTCCTAGGCACAGAGATGCCCTTGTATTATTCCCTTGTAGGTGAGAATTAGTAAGGGGCTGGTACAGGCGGGTCCCAATCCCTGTGGCAGGGGACAGTGGGATGCTCTCAGGTCTGAATCCTTGTCTCTGCATTGATTCCCACTCTTCCCTTGCTGGGAGAGGTGGTGGGAGGGTGCTTTCATGAAACTGGCTGGACCTTCTGTGGCATGCGGGGCACCACTGAGCTCCTCAGGAAGGACAGGAGGGGCTGGCCCCAGAATAGAGACAAGAAGAGCACAGGAGCCCCTGTCCAGCCCCCCATAGTCTGTCAGAGCATGCTACCAAACACCCGAGACTAACAGAGGCAGCTGTGTATGAGCCCAGCCCCTCCACACTGACTGGAACCTTCTGTCCCAAGTCTCCGGAGAGCAAACAGGCCTACGGGCCGGGGGAAGGGGTCTGTCCAGAGCCGGCCCTTGCTGGGGGAGCCTCGTGGGATGCATGGGGCAGGCGTCGGGCATTTTCCAAGCTGTTAGCTGCTGTTTAAAAACGGAAATAAAATCAAAGACTAAAGAACCAAGACTTTGTCTCTTAAATGTTTGCTTTTTTCCAGATCACAAAAATGAGGCATCTCTGCAGAGAGAAAGGTCTGGAAAGAGATACCAGAATGTTAGCAGCTGCTGTCTTTATGGGAGGTGATGAAGGGGCCATTTTCTTCATGTTTTTCGGTTTCTGCATTGAGCACAAAATGCTTTTGTAATTAGATAAGATCCCATTAAATCTCGCCATCATTAGAGATGATACATGGTCCTTTGCAAGATAGAAAAATGCAGAAATCATAAAGATGCCAGTTACCCATAATCCTACCACGCAGTGATAACTACCATTGATTTTGGTACCAGGGATCGAACTCAGGACCTTGCGCTTGCGAGGCAGGCTGTGGCACCACTGAGCTACATCCTTGGCCTCACCATTGATTTTTTTAAATACATTTTATTTAGCCAGGGATTTAGCTCAGTGGTTCTGCCGCCTGCCTCGCAACCACAAGGTCCCAATTTCGATCCCTGTTACCAAAAAAATTTTTAAAAAATTTTTAAAAATGAATTTGATTTTATCCCATTCCCTCCAGCCCCCTCCCATTCCCTGTGTACAACAGCTTTGCCTCCATTGCACTGATCTTTTGAAAATGCAAATATTTTGGCAAGATTTTTGTTGTTGGGGGGGGCTCCTGGGGATTGAACACAAGGCCTTCACATTGAGCCACGTACCCAGACTTTTTGGAAGCAAAACCTTTTTTTGGGGGGGGGGGTACCTGGGATGGAACTCAGGACCTTGGGCTTGTGAGGCAGGCAGCAGCACCATTGAGCTAAATCCCCAGCCCCTGAAGCAAGACATTTATTGGTATACATATAATGATAACACTAATCATAGGGAATTTGCACCTGTACATGATATAGCTTGCTTCTTCGTTTCCATTCCCACCCTCCCTTCAATGCCTCTTCCCCTTATTTAAAAAGCTTTTTTCCTTCTATTCTTTTTTTCTTGTTTTTTCCTTTCTCCTCCCCGCTCTCTTGTCCCCCTTTTCATTTGAACATTTTCTTCCTATTTCCCAATATCTGTTATACATTTTGATCCTTATTTCCTCTTCCTCTTTCAGTTTCTTGCACCAGAGAAACAATGTGGTATTTAAACATGTGTCTGATTTATTTCACTTAAGAGTATGGTCTCAAAAAAAAAAAAAAAGTATGGTCTCAAGGTGTATTCATTTAGCTATAAATGTCTCAAGCTCATCCTTATTCATGTCAGAGTAGTACTCCATTGTATGAAAAAATCTTTATCCATTCATTAGTTGATGGGCATTTGGGCTGTTTCCAAGATTTAGCTATTACAAATTGTGCCACTATAAACATGGGTGTGTATATATCGTTGTGGTATGGTGCTTTTAATTCTTTTATTTTATTTTATTTTTATTTTTTGAGACAAGTTCTTGTTATTAGTTCAGGATGGCTTTGAGCTCACTATGTAGCCCAGGCTGGCCTCGAACTCACAGCAATCCTGCCTCAGCCTACTGAGTGCTGGGATTACAGGCATGCACCACCACACCCAGTGCTGATGCTTTTAATTCTTTTGGGAAGATACAAAAGGGGAATGGCTGGGTCTAGTGGAACCTCTAGTCCTAGTTCTTTGAGGAATCTCCACACTGATTTCCACAGTGCTCGCACCAGTCTGCACTCCCACCAGCAGTGGAGAAGGGTTCTTTTTTTCCCCACAGCCCCACCAGCATTTGTTATTGGTTGATTTTTTTTTTTTTTTTTTGCAGAATCAGGAATCAAACCCAGGACCATGTGCTTGCCAGGCAGGCATGGTGCCACTGAGCTACATCCCCAGCCCGCTGGTTGATTTCTTGATAGCAGCCATTCTTTCTGGGGTGAGGTGGAATCTCAGCATTATTGTTTCAATTTGCATCTCTCAAATGACCAGTGATGTTGAACCTTTTTTCATATATTGATTTGCCATTTCTACTTCATCTGAGAAGTGTCCCCAGACTCTTTTTTTAAAAAACAGTATTGCTAGGCCGGGATTTAGCTCAGTGGTTCCAGCACACCTGCCTTGAAAGAGCAACGTCCTGAGTTAGATGCCTGGTACAATAAGTTATACACTAAGTTGAGTCCATCAAACTTGCAATCCTAGGGCTGGGGATTTAGCTCAGTGGTTTCACCACCTGCTGCGCAACCACAAGGACCCGAGTTCGATCCCCAGTACCAAAAAAAACCCAAAACTTGCAATCCTCCTGCCTCAGCCTTACAGAGTCCTGAGACTGCAAGCATGTGGCACCATGCCCAGTGACAAAGTTCCTTATCTCGGAAGAAAGAGGCTGTCATTGTGGGTCTCCTCTCCTTTGTCAGGCTTTCCTGCTGCTCTTAGGAGTAGAGACTATCCTCACCTTCTCGAGCCTGCCTGGAGCTTAGAGAAATTTCCCAGGGAATAAGTGGCCAGAGAGAATGGTGAGTCTCTTGAGAACTAGAAATAAGAGTAGCAGGGTGGGGTTTACTTCCACATATTTCTACCTGAACACTGTAGCTGAGCTTTTAGAGCAAGCTAAGAACAGGAGGTGTGGAAGTCGGGTCCCTGGTGAGGGCCTGGGGAGACAGAAAGGGCCACAGGTGTCACTCTGCCGGCCATGGGCAATGAAAAAGGGACCAGCCCTTCTGAAAGCAAATATCCTGAAAAACCTGTTGCTGCTTCTCCAATTCTGATTCCCACCTAGATCATGAGACTGAATTAACTTCCAGGCAAATAGCTTTCAGAATTCTTCCTGTGATTAGCTTTAACCACCGGTGGCAATTCTCTGTGAAGTAAGGCTGGGAATTATGGATGGGGAAGAGCTTCCTCTCACACACGTGTCTGCCACTAATGGGTACCTGTGTAGTCCCAGGTCCCGGGGACAGGGCTTCAAGTGTACTCTCATTTAATACAGCAATTCTGCTGGTAGAAGAAGAATAGAATTATCTGCCAGCAGACGGACAGAAAGGCAGAGTAAGTAACTTATCCATGGTTCCATAGCTGATGAGTGGCAGATCTAGGTTTAAACCTCAAGGAGTCAGAAATGGAACCTGTGCAACCCCTTCCCCCACCACTCCAAACAGCATCCTTCCAGACTTTGTTGTGATCATTCATCTTTTGGGCTTTTGGATGAACGCAGGTCAGTAGTGAGCACACTTCAAAATGCATGGGAGCTGGGTGTGGTGTGCCTATAATCTCAGAACTTGGGAGGCTGAGGGAGGAGGATTGCCACAAATTGGAGGCCAGCCTGGGATACATAGTTCAAGGGCAGCCCGAATTACATAGCAAGACCCTCCCTCAAAAAAAAAAAAAAAAAAGGCTGTCAAATGTTTAATGGCTACTGTTCTTTTATATTTCTCATGCAAGCATCACCTCCAGGCCATCCTATCAAAAACCTGCTCAGGGATTTAGCTCAGTGGTTCTGCAGCCTGCCTCACAAGCACAAGGTCCCAAGTTCAGATCCCCAGTACCAAAAAAAACACCAACAACAAAGAAATCTGCTCAAGGTATCTCCAGACTTTCTTGTGCAGGGCTTTGAGAATTGTGCATGTGTCCTGGAATTAATAAATCACACTTACTTTCCTATCTATTCCTAGACATACCCTATTTCCTGTTGGGTATGGTATTGTTTGTTGTGATGGTTCAAGTGTGTTTGAGTTGGAGGGAGGTTTCTGGGTTTAGTGTCTTCCCCACTCCAAGCTTAACTATGTTGTGTGTGTGTGTGTGTGTGTGTGTGTGTGTGTGTGTATGTGTGTGAGACAGGGTCTGGCTATGTAGTTCAAGCTGGCCCTGAACTCACTATGTAGCCTAGGGTGGCCTCAAATTCGCCTCGATCCTCCTGCCTTAGACACTTAGACTCCTGAGTGCTGGGATTACAGGCCTTCGCCACCATGCCGGGCTGTGTGTTTTATTTTTAAATATGTATTTTTTTTTTTTTGAGACAGGGTCTTGTTTTGTAGTTCAGCCTGGCCTTGAACTCACTATGCAGCCCAGGTGGCCTTGAACTCATGGCGATCCCCTGCATCAGCCTCAGGAGTGCTGGGATTCTAGGTATGTACCACCATGCCTGGCTTTAACTGTGGCTTTTTGTTTGTTTTTACATTTCTGAAGATTGAATTCAGGGCCTCCTGAATGCCAAAAACTAATCTACCACAGAGCTACACCCTAAGATCCTCAAGGGTTCTTTTGTTTTGTTTTGAGACAGGTTCTCCCTATGCAGTATAGTTCAGGCTGGTCTTAAATGCACTATGTAGCCAGCCCAGGCTGGCCTGGAACTCAGCAATTCTCCTGCCTCAGCCTCCAAGTGCTGGAATTATAGGTTTGTGGCTCTATGGTAGGTTTAAGCATAGTTTTAAAACTCCTATATTTTCTTCTTTCTAGTACTTCTATTCTTTAGTCTCTCTTTCCTTTCCTTTTCCTTTCTTTTTCAGTGCTGGGCACTAAACTCAGGGCCTTTGTACTAAATTATAGTCCCCAGGCCCCTTTTTATTTGGGGGGGGGGGTACAAGGTCTCTCTAAGTTGTTACATTGGCCTAGTTGTGCTCAAATTTGCAGTTCTCCTACCTCAGCCTCCCAGAGTGCTGATTAAAGGTATAGGGTATTTTACTTTGATTCTTCTGATATTTATGGACTCAGGACCTTGGGCTTGCCAGGCAGGCATGGCACCGATGAGCTAAATCCCCAGGGTGATATTTATTTTGGAGTAAGAAGTTAAGACCAGCCAGGTATGGTGACACACACCTGTAATCCCAGCACAAGGGAGGCTGAGGCAGGAAGATTACCACAACTATGAAGCCAGCCTAGGCTACATAGTATGTTCAAGGGCAGACTGAACTGCATAGTGAGACCCTCTCTCAAAAAAATAATTAATTTGTTAATAATTAACATACAGGGCCAGGGATTTAGCTCAGTGATTCTGCCACCTGCCCCACAAGTGTAAAGACCCAAGTTCGATCCCCAGTACCAAAAAAAATTAACTGTATTCTGATTTTTTTCCAGACTCTACCCAATTTCTACTC